CTGCCTTCAAGCATCTTAACACACACAAGCATTTTCACCTGCAGCATTCCTGCGAGCTTCCTCCAGACTTTATAGCAATCCTGCACTTGAGTGACACCCATCTTATTTTCCACTCAGCTTATCTTCCATAATTTGATTACACAACTGCACAGGAGTCTGACAAACTGCTAACACAATTTCAAATGAGAGTGCATCTCTATTAATTTATGGATATTCAAAACCTTTCACGATCATTTCAAAAGATGAAACATATTTCAAAATTTGCCAACCTTTCTCCTATTGTTTTGCTCAGCGGTTCTTCTTAGATAAGGTCGGTAAACATCATGAAAAGCACTTTAAAACATGCTATGAACAACACAATCAAAAACAGCTTAAATCCCCACTGAGGGAAAATATAAAATAATAAGTAACACATACACTGTGCTGTGTAGCCGGTAACACTCCTGACAACAATGCATCTAATCCTCTCAGCAGCCAATTTAGTGGTGAAGCTGAATAAAAATGATATGCTTAACCCACATCTGACATTCAACAAACCCCTGGAATGACTACTGTATGAAGTAGCTCCACTGACCTTGTTAGTTGCTACAGTAGCAAATTACAGCCTACACTACTTTCACTTTCAAGGCTCTTCAACAGCAGGTCTGGCCTTGAAAATGCTGCATGCAATGCTCACTCTGACTTCAAAATCTCCATGTGTGAATACACTGCCACCCTCAAAAACTAACCAGTTTAATAAACTAAGATTTTTCAGTAGGCCGACAAATATGGCATTCTGAGGACGACACAAGGAATCACGCTCTGATCAGTGTGCTCCACACCTGTTCAGTATTCTTAAACACACGACTGCCAAGTCAACTCAGTGAAAATGTTTATGACTGGGGTATATATTAAAAGTTTTGATAATCCTTCATCAGTGGTGCTTAAATATCACTGAACTCCAGAACCATCTAGGAATTGTGCTGAAAATGCAGGACCCACAGTGTCACTTCCCAAAAACTTCATTTGTAAACTAATGCCCAGGCAACTGATTCTAAAGTTGGTGCTCCCTGGGCCACATTACTGTGTGGAGAAGTACTGTTAGAGGTACTTCAGAAAACAGGGTATCACTGGGAATTCCCTGGCAGGCCAGTGGTTAGGACGCTATGCTTTCACTGCAGGGGACCCAGGATCAATCCGTGGTCAGGCAACTAAGATCCCACATGCCACCTATTGTGGCCAGAAAAAAAAAAAGGAAAAAGAAAACACATGGTATCACTGAGTTCCTAACTTTCTCAATCCCAAGTTAGAATGGGACTGAAAAGAAAAATCTACCAGCATCTCTGTGTGTGAGGACATCCACACACATCACCCTTGAGCACATTAAATCACAGGGGCTGCTTTTAACAGCAAAGAAATTTTAATGCTCTTTTATTTCTGAAAACAATATTGACTAAGGCCAGGAAAATCAGACCCAGGAAAAGTCAAATTTTAAAGTTAAAAAAAAAAATCATTACCACTGCAATGTCATAGCATCTGTTATACTGAAGTAAACCCACCCCAAGCCTTCTGATCTAATTACAGCTTCTATTTACTTCTTACAGGGCTTTTTCTGTGTCTGATGAAAACTGAGCCATAAAATAATTAAGACAGGGATTTAGAGATTTGGTACAGCAAACCTCCTAATAAAAACGGCACAAATGGGACTCTTCTTGCTGTTGTTACATATTAAATCTTATTTGATCGATTTTACTGTATTCCAAATTACAAACATAAGGTAGAAGGCTGTAATTACAGTTTTATTGATTTGTCATTAACTTTTAATCAACCTGCTACTACAGGGAATGGTTATTACAGCAGTGCTCCCTTGTTTCTAAGTTTCATACACTTGTCATCACTACAACAAAGTAACTGGACACATTTAATGCCAACAAATATATAGTATTGTTTGTAAGGCATCTGTTTGCAACTGTAACTATATCAGCACAAATGCATTACAGAACAAGGACTACACTAAACTGTATCTGATTTTCTCTAGGTTTCTTTATACCTTTCTGACCACTGACAGCTATACATGTTTTTTATATTCTATTCCTTTTTATTTTACCTATTTGTTTCTCCTAAATTCATCTGTTTCTTTCTCCTGCAGCGACCACAATTGGCTGAATCTGAAACTGAAAGTTGATGCTCTATGAAACAGATGCAAATGACTAAAACAGAAAGGCAGCAGGTACATTTCCTGGGAACACTGACACTGAATGCCTTTAGGAAGTTTATCAAGAAAGTTTAAAGATTACAGGATGACAAGAAAAACATTTCACAAACTCCATAAATGGAATAAACTTTTTAGCATACTAAACTGTAACTGAATTTAAAATCAAAGTCAACATCAAGCCATGGTTCACCAGTGAAAGCCTCAATCTATGTACCTGCTGCTGATCAGTTCTCATCTTAAGGTTCTCCTGGTACCACAGAAACTATAAAAAGGCATCTGACACAAGGCTTTACTACCTGAAGGACGATGCAAACACTATGAGACACAATACTGATAAAACTATCCTAAAATTATTTATTTCCAGTCTTACAGATACTTATTTTCTAATTCCGAAGCCTACTTAATTCATTTATTTTGCCTAACAGTACACACACAGAATATTACATTTAAAAGGTTCCAGTTTAAAAAAAAAAAAAAACACCATTTACAGATACTAACATATTAGAATACAATATTTTCTACAGATCAAATATTTTATCTTTAATATGACTGACCTAACAGCTCTCCTTTGCCTGATTTGATTTTAACGCTTTATATAATTTTGGTAAGTCTAAGAGACAGAAATTTTATAAACTGAAAGAAAGTCTATCCTCCAACATGGCAAATCAAGTTTCAAGCACAACGGTCCTATATGTGAAATGAAAAAAAAAGCAGCCAAGTTCTTTTTAATGCTTGCTCTCAGAACATACTACAAAATATAAGCCAAGTGTTGAGCTTACAAGAATATATTTAAACTAAATCAAAGTAACAGGCAATTCTAAAACAGCAGCAAGAGCAGTCAGAAGGACAGAATTTTTACAAGCTGAGAGACAATGAAACTCTCTCACACTTTTTCTTGTTTAGTATATATACATGAAAATAACTGCATGCAATGGGTTCTAATGTCAGAACATGATCACAAAAACATAAGCCAAGGATAATAAAAGATTTTTTAAATTAAATATAAATTGCTTTCAAATGGCAGACTAAACTAATTTTCAGGCAGAATTCAAGTTCTGGAGTCTTTACTTCGGTTAAGAATGGGGGGAATGGATCGGGATGGGGAACACATGTAAATCCATGGCTGATTCATGTCAATGTATGACAAAACCCACTACAATATTGTAAAGTAATTAGCCTCCAACTAATAAAAATAAATAAATAAATAAATAAAAAAGAATGGGGGGAATGAAAATCCCCAGAAACTGTACACAAATTGTCCATAAGTGCAGCTTACGGGAGAGACGACCACAGGCTTCATTAGCTTCCTAAAGGCGTCTCTAACTCATAAAGGAACTACCACTTTATGTTCTTTGCTACTCCAAAAATGAACATATTGTTAGTCCTATCACACTTATAAGTTCAGTAAATTATGAACACAATTTTAAATCTAGAGTTGGCTTGGATTCTCCAAAATTATTTGTAAACCAATGTCAAAAGGAAGTTTTATATAAAACAGTTTTGAGAATTTAGTGTCTTTTGAGCTAACTTCTTTCAACATTCTCTTAAAGGAGAGATGTTTATTAAAGGTTTCAAGTACGCTTAAAAAAAATAATCTTTAGCAACTAGGTGCAGAACTGCATACAAATCCATTAGACCATTCCTGTCACTGTGTTCAAATCTTCTATGGTCTTAACAAGTTATGCCTGCCTGGTCCTAAGACTTTTATAAAGTAGATGTGACTATCACCAATGAAGATAATAATTGTACTGATTTTTCACTATAATTCTGGCAATTTTTTGCTTTATATTTTGAGACTATGCTATTTAGTCCAAGTTCAGGTTTATTACATTTCCCAAGAGAATTGTTCCTTCTATCAGTATACAACAGTTTCTTTTTTATTAGCTTTAAGTCTTTTTTTTGGGAGGGGGGCTAATGTTAACATTACTATCTACTCTCAAGTAGCATTTCTGAATCAGTGAGGGCTGACCAGAGAAGTAGAATCACTAAGAGAGGTAAGAATAAGGAGTTATCACAGGGATACGAACAGTAATTGTGAGAGCTAATTAGGCACTTCATATAGAACTGTTGCCTCTGCACGGAGAGTTGGGACAGAAATTCAGAAGACAAGCAATCAGGAAGGAAAGATGGGTGTGAAATGGAGACAAGCAAGGACAAACTGAATTTCACATTCTCCATCACACCAATCTCGATGCTGTGGGTGTCCTGTAGTACCAAGCAGCATCCTTCACCAGAGCCCACACATCTGACTCAAAACTTAGAGAAGCTGAAGAAGAAGATCCAGCTGGAGATGGAGCAGCTAGAGGCCTGGCTTGCTTCCTGAAGCCAACAGATCATTCATGAGGTATACGAACTGCAACTGTGTCTGACCCCACACCAACCTTCTGAGCAGGAACACAAATGCTGGGTCACTTTCGCCTTCAAAATATTGTGCAGATTTCTCTTGTAGCCAGGCTAACCTGGAACCCTCCTGGAAAGGGAGTTCTAGGAAACAGTTCTTGCTCAACTATGCTGACAACAAAAAGCCACCACAATTTACATGGTTATTTTCTTCTATTTCTTTAATTTTATTCTTTCTGTATAATTATGTTTGAGGTATGTCTCTTGTAAATAACATATATCTGGATTCTTCTTTCATACTATCTAAGCTATCTTTCAACTATCATGGTTTAATACAATTACATTTATTGGGATTTAAGACTTTCATAATTTAGAATTATCTTTCGAAAATGAACTAATATATATAGTGAAGATAATTCATGCTTTGCATTTCTGAAGTATGTTATACACATAACTTATTACTTACCACTTCTCCAGCCGAGGCAGCCAACATATGTGTCACAGGCATCAAATGTGAAGAAGAATCAGTGTGCAAAATCCATTTCACATATTCATAGGTGACAAAAAAGGCAGCAGCTGAAATTTAAAACAAACCAATCTTTCACAAAGCTTGAATATCTACACAAACTGTGAATATGTTTCTCAAAAAAAAATTACAACTCAATTATTAACTTATGAGACAATAAAGATATTAAATATGAATAATATAGTTTGTTTATATTTATAAATATTTCAAATATAAGTAAAAATAATAAAGATACAATAATATGTACTCTTCCCTGCCATCCCATCACTCTTACAGATTTCACTGAGCCCATGTTACACGCTTGACCTTGGACTTCCAAAAATGCAGAAGACATGATCCCTGCTGCCATGAGGAACCCTAACAGCTAACCTGGCATTTACCAATTTGTACTGACAAGTCACTTAACACTTTTTAATAAGAGTTTTAGAAAAGGATATGAATATCCATGATCCAAAATATCTTTACATATGATCATAAAATAATCAACTACACTAGTTTACAGACAGGTTAAAACTGCAAACCTATATCTCAATAAAACACCTATTCCATTATGCTTTATTGCTGGATACTCAAAATAACCATGGCTACTTTTTACTACCTCAATTCACCTTTACTTCAAGAAAACAATCAACTATTTAATTAAAACTGAAAATCAAAATCTCTAAAAAGCTACCCCCATCACATGAACTAGCAGCACAGGAAGGCTTTTAGACTTGCCATGTACTGTTAATCAAAGATGTGTATCAGTCACATAAAAGATTTGGCATGAAAGATAAATACATGGCAAAATCATCTTTCAAAGGTCATTTGAACATGTCACAGCAAAGTCTGAAATACTCAGGAAAAGAGCTTGAGAGTGAAAACCAGTTCTCCACAGTCAGTCAGCTTGCAACAAACTCTCCTCAGCAGCCCACGAACAGGAGGCCAGAAGAGGCGGCACACTGTCCCTGGATAATTAAGGCCCGAGCAGGCAGCTGTATTTAGTTAACGCAGGACCTAATTCCCACCTGCAATTCTTAACTAGGCTGGTCCTATTTTGGCCCACTCACGAAATGGGCTAGAACAGGGGTGCCTAATCTCCAGGATCTAACACCTGATGATCTGAGGTGAAGATAGATATAATAATATGAGAAATAAAGTGCACAATAAATGGAATATGCTTGAATCATCCCAAAACCATACCCCCCACACACCCCTGTCTGTGGTAAAATGGGTCTTCCATGAAACCGGTCCCTGGTGCCAAAAAGATTGGGGACCACTGGGCTAGAATATTACCAATCAAATTCAGTTCTAAGTTCCTCCTACTGGACATCGCACCACCCACCCCTATCCCCGCCCCCAAGTGAAAAAAAGCAAACAAACTGGTTTCTCTACATTCCTTCTACATTCCCTTCTAAACATGTTCTACTTATGAATCTTGACTGCAGTTCTTTCCTCTCTTCTTGCAGCTCACACTTGCAGCCCAGCACCCCCTGCACAATATGTCCTCAAAAAAACCTACAACCGCTATATGTGAAAATGGTGTATTGTATTCTGAAAAGAACTTGAACCAATAGCAGAAAATGTTTAAAGTTCCTCATAGAGTTTCAGTTCACTAAAAATTTGCAGAAAAACAGCCATTTCTGGAATGCTGGCACTCTGACTTTTCATCCAGCCTCTCCTATTCAATGATGTTCTGTAGAGGGCAAAGTAAAGCAGTCCGAGAACATCCACTTTCTCAAACATACAAAAATTCAAAACCACGTTCTCTATGTAAACTCCTGCTCACAAGAATCTAAACCAGTCCCGTGAGCTTAATGGAGGCCCATGTACCCTGCAGACCATCATTAATACTTCATCTACCAACAATCCCTACATAATATGTAAGAGAAAAATTTACAACAATGCAGGAGACAAGGTAAGGAGTACCACCCAAAAGATAGGGACTTAGTAACATACTGATATTTCTTTGCAATTCCCTAGTTCAGAGGTTCCCAAACTTGTCTGCATATTAAAATTACCATGGGATATATATTTCTTTAAAAATCCAAAGCCCAGGCCACACCTCAGACCAACTAAATTCCATACCTCTGAGAGTGGGTCACAGGCAGCAGTACTTTTAAAAAAACAAAAAAACTCAAATGATCAGGTGACTGAAACACAGACAAATACACGAACCAAGGCCTATCTCCCACTAACAGAGCTATATTTGGCATGGAGTGCGTGCTAAATGGTGACTTGCTATAATCGATTACTGAAAATTTAGGCATAAAAGAATTCAAAGTGAGTGTGAAAGTCACTCAGTCATGTCCGACTCTTTGCAATCCCATGGACTATATAGTCCATGAAATTTGTCAGGCCAGAATACTGGAGTGGGTAGCCTTTCCCTTCTCCAGGGAAAAGAATTGAAAGATAAGCTCAAAACAGTTGGTTGTTCTAAGGATGGCTCGGGGAAAGGGAAGAAGGGATAAACTAAAGGACCAAAAATATCTGCACTACAGATCTTTATGTGAATACTGTACTTTTTACAGATGGACATTTCAATGTCAAGTTAACAAGAAAGAATTTCTAATGAAATACACTGCGAAAAAGAACTCAAACCTTAGAATTTAAGAATCTTCTGTCATGTTGATGTTTGGTAGAAATCAACACAATACTGTAAAGCAATTATCCTTCAATTAAAAATAAATCAAAAATAAAAAAAAATTTTAATTTTTATTTTTTATGGAGCAGTGAGTGGTTTTGTGAGTGTGTGTTTGACGGTAGTGGTTTTCTGTTTGCTCAGTGTGAGTGCCAATCAAAGCATCAGTAAACAATTATCAAAATAAGTATCTGAAAAAAGAGTACACCAACAGGTGGATTAAATAAAACAGGTTCACCTGCTCCATGAGACTCCCCAAGGCAGAGGTCACTGAGGTTAGCTTCACATCTGAATCACCTGGGAAGCTACTAAAACTCCTGATACCCAGGCAAAGCCAAGACCAGTTAAACTTCTCACAGAGACACAGGCATCAGTGTTTTGTAAAACTCCCCAAGTGATTTCAACATTCAGGCAAGGTTGAGAACAACTACTCTAAGGCATCACAATCAACGTTAGAGGAACACTTTAAGGATTCTAACTAGGAGTTCTACCAATGAAAACCACTTTCAAAAGACTGCTCGTGGTTTTGTTTTTTTGTCGTTGCTGTTTAGGATGGCATATCTAGCACTAGTTGAGTCAAAAATAATGGATTAATGACTAGAAAACAAATTCCAAGTATCAACTACATTAAACATAAGGAATTCTATCTAGGGTTGGACCACACATTATTCTGAAAGTAAATCCTATTAGCTTGGCTTTATATAAAGCAAGGGTAATATCAACATAACTGTTACCATTAGGAAAAGATCCAACAGCAGCAGAAGGAACTCCGGCGTACACTCCACAAAAACCGCCGGCCTTAGAAAAGCCCTGGGGACTCTGCAGCCTGGTCTTAATGGTATCCAGAGGGAATAATATCAAGTCGACAGAGACACCTGCTATTCCGCCAGCCTGGAAAACAAGTTACAAAAAAATAATGTGCCATTTGAGGGATGGGGATAAGATGGAAGTTTTTAAAGCATATTTCTTTCAAACATGGTTTTAAACATCACCAGACTACTCTGGTATAGTCAAAAGACCTCCTACCTAAATCTACAGATTTGTCCTGGGAAAATAACCATTACTGAGCTATACTTTCAAATTGTAAATGTTATATTTTATATCCAGTTTTAAACAAATGTTTAACGATTTTTAACAATTTTTATATTAATTTTAAATTCATTTTTAATGATTTCATAGGGTTCAAAAAATAAACCTCAGAAAAGAGTTCAAAGTCTCCTTCCTTATCCTGAAAAACTGAGGTAACCACTTTTATTGGTTTCTTATTGTATCCGTCCTAAGTTACTTTAGGTATATATACAAGCAAATCCGAATATGAGGAACTTCCCTGGACATCCAGTGGTTAGAACTGTGTGCTTCCACTGAACGGGGCACAAGTTTCACCACTGGTCAGGGAACTAAGATACCACATGCTGTGCAGTCAAAAAAATGCATAAAAAACAAGTAAATGGTAAATTTTTAAGTAAAAGATGGTTTGCAGCACTGTGTTTTTTTCATTTAACAGTTTATCTCAGTGATCTTTCCAAAGCATACCATATGTTGTATTTTTGGCCTTTTTAACTGAGTAGTGAATCTGCATTTAATAGAAAACTGTTTTGAAATTTCCATTCTAAATGGGTAATGCTGCCTGTGAATCTAGATCCACATTTTAAGAATCACGTGGAGAAGGAAATGGCAACCCACTCCAGTATTCTTGCCTGGAAAAGTCCATGGACAGAGGAGCCTGGCAGGCTGCAGTCCACGGGCTTACATGACTGAGCATGTGTGCACGAGGGTGGAGGGAGATGGGTTGGTAGCAATAAAGTGGTAGAACTAAAAAAAAAAAGAATCACATATCTGAGGGTTCTTGGTATTTTCTCTACTTTTTGTATATTGGAAAATTCCTTGATAAATTTTAAGAGAATAAATGAAAAAATAGAGCTAAATTCCTAGAGGGCATTAAACCTGCCCCAAATGCATCATCTCCCAAGAGACCCCATGTTGCTTCAGGGAAGGTGCACTTTAAAAACTGATTGAAAACCAAGTCTGCTCCTTGTGATTACAGTAAAGCATAGGTAGAGTAGAACATTTAAAAAACTGGTTACAGCTGAGTCAAAGCAAAATGAAACCCAGAAAAAGAGAAGCTCAGAGACAGCAGAAGAGAAAGGTCAATACACAAGGTCTAGAGGTACCATTTAAAGACATGAATCAACACCATTTTATAGCAAGTAAATGAAAGAATTATAAAGCGGCAATATGGTTCCTATATAGTTATTTTTAAACTGAATTGTTAACTTTCTTATCTTTTGAACTTTGACCTATGTGAATATATTACCTATTCAAAAAGTAAAAGCAGACATTAAAAACTATATATTCCATGACACAGAAAAGAGGAATCAATACTATTCAAACATACAGGCAGAGTTCAAAATCATGTTGTTTCCATCCTTTGGGATTGCAAAGTGCTCAGGTGGTATAAGGGTTAGTACCTAGCAAACACTTTCTGCTCTGTTTGCCATGCACGATAAAACCACTGCAAGAGTTCACTGGAAAAATGAAATTATTTGGATGAGAAATGAAATAATCTGTTTTTCAATGAGTCAGCATAGGTCAATTATTAAAAATTAGTGTACACTACCTTGAAAGGCATGACAGAACCATGCAGGCCACTCTGCAAATGACCTAAAAAGTTGTCACGAAAAGAACACGGAGATGTGCCAGTGGAGTATCAAGTGTGAGTAGGAAAAAAAAAAAAAAAAGACAATGTGGAATATCTTTCTGGATATAAAGAAATCATCTAAGCCACAGGGCAAAGGTCACAATTAGGAAAGTTAAAAAGAAAAATAAAAGTTAATTTTTTCAACATTCTTCTCACTTATTCTTTAAGGACTTCATAAATTCAATATGTAAGAAAATATTTTGCGTGCCTCTTCATTTTCTCAAAACACAAGGAAAACTAAAATTTTTGTGAGAATGTCTGATATGACTGATTTCTTTAAAAATATGCTGCACTTCATTCTAATTTTCTCTTTAATCTTAGAAAGGGGTTCACAAAGATGCTTGCTATCTACTGCTAAATTTTAATCAGTAAGTTAATTACTCTTTTAATCTATTTGGCTACTTTGCATGCACTGATTCTCCAGCCCTTCTTTCATCAGAATTCTTGTATACTGAGTAAATGATCAGATTCAATCTACTGATCTAGCAAATCATGAATCAAGAGCTACTAACTTCAAAAAAAAAAAAAAAGAGCTACTAACTTCTTCTGTGGATTTCAAACTTCTATAACTCAAGTATCATGTAAATTCATGAGACTGGAAAAAATACAGCTAACAGGAATAAGAATACATATATATTTAGACATACAGCAACATGTTTAAGATTTTTTTAAAAACCTTAAGGAATGCTTATAATTTTACATCAAGTCAGCATCAACTGAATCTTAAGGAACTCTACCGATTTATTTTTTTTCTTCAGCCTGAGAAATTATTTATGATCACGTATCAAAAGGTTACCAAAGGATTCAAGATTTACGGTAGCTTACACAGAAAATCCTAAGTACTAGACAAAAATCCAAAAACAACAGAACACAGATAACCAGCAAGACTTACCTCACCATAACAATTTATTGAGATCATGATACCATATACAATAGATAACATATATACCATGACCTTAATTCAAAAGTGTTACAGACAGCAAAAGTCTATAATCAGTGCTTTGAAATTCCTTTGGTAGTTGAAGAAAGTTAAGATTACATGCTATGAAACCTTTATTTCTCCAAAGAAAGCCGGCAAAAACAGGAAAAACAAAAATCACAGCTATTCAACTACAGGACAAAAACTAAACCACCTGCCTAATTTAACTAAGCAAAATGATCACAGGCCCCCAGCCTAGACCACAACTAAGAACAAGAAAAACATTAACATGGCTTCTCCGGAGAACATCCCTCCCTGACATTCTCGGTTTTCTCCACAGTGAGGTGGCCACCAGTGACTTTAACCTCCTCAATGCAAAGCTGTGGCTTCCTATGAGACCTGCCTTCTTCCACATCCTTCACCCACTCTCCCTGCAGCACTTCTTGACCCTCTACACTAATGGCAGAGTTGTCTTTGTAAAACAGATTTCCACGCTCTTCAAAGCTTCCAAAAGCCCTTAAGATGAAAAACAGAATCACAGTACAGCCTGCAAGCCTCTAGAAGTTCACCACCGTGCCCCACCCACTCCACCTTCTCCACCCTCAACTCCATCATTAACGCTTTGCCAGGTACCTTCTTGCCACCATGACCTTTTTCCTCTGAGTCATCTGATTTTGCTCATTTCTAGGACTGTGTACATGATGCTCTCTAATCCCCCAAGTCTGCGTTTAGACCCCCTTGTTCTACACTGACTGGAATTTTAATTCTATAGTTGAGCATCTGACCATTTCTTCAAAGTTTGTGTGTGTCCCACCAGACTGTAAGATCCATACCTGTTTTGTTCACCAATATGTTCCCAGCACCAGTACACAGCAGGCAATTGTAGGCACTTAATAACTATTAGAAGAATACATGAATTAATGACTGTAACAAAAGGTTACTAACCATGTTTGGGGGGGAGGGTGGTCATTGTCATTTAGTTTTATTTTTTGAGGCCAAGCAGCATGCAGGATCTTAGTTCTCCAAGATGATTCTCAGTAATACCTCAATTCATTTCTTTCACAGCACCTTACGGTAACGCTTTGGTTTGTTTGCCATCAAATCTCCAAGGGCAATCACAGTACCAGTAGGCAGAATATAAGGCAGAGAAACTGCACATGAAATGAATTCAGCCAGAGCAAAACTTTCCTTGAAACTTCAACCAATCAATCCTAATTTTACTCTCTGTAACTACACTTTAAAAAGTACACATATGTACCATTATTTAATAAATCCTAAATAAATTTTAAAACCATGTTTCCTTCCTTAACTGACACCTGCTTTCAGCAACTGCTACTGTTGTTGACTTAAGAGACAGCCTTAAAGAGCAGTAAGGGGCACGAAATCCCATGTTACAAGGCCTGGAATCTGTGCTCAGACACTAACACACATGAAATGTATCTCACTTGTGTGATTTCGGACAAATTATCTAACATATCACTTCTCAGTTCCCTCACTGAGAGACCTAGGAGAAGACTTCAATTGTTTGTCAGAATGAAATCAGATGCTGTACCTAAAAAGCTTACCCTACTTCCGCACAGAGCAATGCTCTCACAAGTACTACCGCTATCTCACGAGCTGTACAGGAAAACGCCTTCAAAAGTGGCAAAGCCTCTCTCTGCATCTCTAAAACCTAGCTTCCACAGATCTCAACAAAGCTGGATTTTAAAACCAACTTTCCACACGTCTGAGTAAAATCCCCCTTCCACATCTCTCCGAACCACGCTGAAAGTAACCCTCACGTCATTTAGGCTAACAATCATTTCCCTCTTCAGCCTCCACCAACAGAACAGGTCTATGTTGTTCACCATGTTATCTCCCACACCTGCAGAAAACATTTGATAATTGCATGAAGAAAGCCCTCTGGGTCTCCATTTCTCAGGAAAGGTTTTGTAAAGATATTTGTCTGTTTTCTGCCTCTACCCACTCTACCACAATGAAAAAACAGGCAATCTGTCTGGTTCACCACTGTATCTAGTAAACCCTACTGGACCTCTTTTTAAATATTTATTGAAGGACTTTGGCAGGGCGGTTGTTATTTTAAGACACGTTGATTCTTTTTCTTTCCTATTATACACCACTGACTGCATAGCGCGGATATTTGGGCTCATCAGTACATACCTAAAGCCTAGAAAAATACTCAGAAGCAGAATAGCCAATTGTGTATTGAATGAAGGGATACATCATTTTCCGAGAATAAAAAAGATACAGCAAAACAAAACTACAGTCTTGGCCAACAGGTCTGGAAGCGGCTTGAGCGTCCTTGTGAATATTTCATTAACTGCCGAGTTCTCCAAAGTGTGGTTACGGTATATAATTGTATATAATTAAAGCTTTTCTTTTTCCTTTAAATAAACCGCGGTGAGGAGGCCGAGTGAAGAATCCCACCGCTAACCCACTCCCGTCCCCTCTGGCATACAGGTGGCAGACTTGGGGACTTGACACAAGCCCCGGCGCGGCCCAGGACCCCCGCGCTTCGCCCAGGACCCCCGCGCTTCCTCCAGGACCTGGTATCCGGTGACCCAGCGACGATTCACCTTGCAAAACCGGAAGACAGAGAAGACAGCACGGGCTCCAGTGCAGGACTCCGACACTCCTAACGCCCTGTACTCACCACCAGCGAGGCTGTGAACCCAGGCTCGTCCATGGCCCCATAGACTTGCTCAGGGTTATAACTCAAGGCTGACCAGAGGCGAGTCACGGGCACCTGACACTGGGCGCCGCCATTTTGGAAGCCGCCGGCACTTCCGCGGCCACGTGAGGCTGAACCACAACAATTACACGTGCAAACGAGGAAGCTGCGCCGGGAGGAGTGCCGGGATGGAGGGGCGGAGTCTGGAAAGGGTGATCTAGTCAAGTCTCGCGACTCTTCTCTGCCTCCAAGTCCGACAGCTTCTCAGTAGGCTAGGTGGAGGAACTCTCGCGAGCAAATGAGCCTAGACTGAGACCCAGACGCAGCAAGGCCCCGCCGCCGTGAGCGCAGGGTGGAGCCCAAGCGTTAACTCAAAAGAGGCGTGGCTATAGTGGAAGGCGTGGCCATAGTGGAAGGCGTGGCCATAGTGGAAGGCGTGGCCATGGAGCTGCCGGACTAGTTTCTGGGGAGACCTGTGGCTTCCAATGTTATTTCTTATTGCTTTATCATTTGGCTTCATCTGTAGAAATTTTGTCTGACGTTTCCATAAAACAGACTCATCATTAGAAAATTATTAACTATAGAAAACCACTTCAAAAGTTTCCTTCTTGAGATTTCCCTGGTGATCCGGTGGTTAAAAATCAGCTTGCCCATGTAGGAGACACAGGTTCTATCCCTGGTCAGGGAACTAAGATCCCACGTGCCAACAGGGCAACTAAGCCTGTGAGCCACAACTATTGATCCCACAGGCCACAACTACAGAAAGCCCAGGTGCAGCAACCAAGTGCCACGTGCCATTAAAATTATTTTTTTTAATTCCTTCCTTGAGTTAAAAATTAGCATCCTCTACTTCTCCTTGTTGTTGTTCCGTTTCTAAGTTGGGTTGGACTCTTTTCGACCTTAGGGAATGTAGCCTGCCAGGCTCGTCGTCCATGGGGATTTCTAGGGGAAAATAACGGAGTTGGTTCCCATTTCTTCCTCCAGGGGATTCTCTGGGTTCAGGGATCGAACCGGGGTCTCCTGTGTTAGCAGGCAGATTCTTTAGTACTGAGCCACCAGGGAAGCCCCTACTTCTCCTTACGGACAGTTTTTGCTCCTAATATTATTCACTTGTTCAGTTATTCATTTGCTCATCTTGTTAGTTGTGTACCAGTGACCACTTTAAGTACTTACTATAAGCTTCTTGGAGTGGACAGTGACTTTACATTTTTTAAATAGATACCTTCTAAGTTTGCTTCTATTAAGGGCCAACAACATCTCAGGTAAGGTGCTCTTAATACAGCTGCTTTGTAAGGTGAGCACTGTTGCCATCCTCATTTTACAGAGAATCCCTGTTCTGCAACTGGTACAGAAGCTGGCCCAAAGCTGCAGAGATCACAGCGCACCCAGGCTTGAAATTTTACTCCTCATCTTTCCTCAAACCCTGTGCTAAAGCCTTAGCAGGCTCTATGTCTGCCTCTCTTCCCTGTGTCTTTCATACCACTGCTACAGTCTTTATTTTCTTCCAGTGAAAATGACCTAGACATGATTAGCACAATACCTTTAGCGTTTCAAATTCTGAACATTCAGGAATCTGAGAGTGGCTTACCTGAGCAGTTTTGTTAACGAAAATTGAAAAGAGGCCAGACAATAAATTCAGTTAAGCCGTTTCTTGGACTCATGCTGCAGCACAAAGGAGTGAAAATGAGTAACAGGTGCCCTTGCTTGCTCCCTCACAGACGGTGGGGAGGGGTAGGGGGTGGAGAGCTGGTCCTTGGAGTGAGGCTAAGGGCAGATCCCGGGGTCAGGCTGGAGGGATGCTTTGGGCACCTCCTTGGAGTTGCTGTCTGCAAGGACCATGTGCAATACCCTGCTTTTGTTCCCAGCTCCTCAGATGTGATAGTTGGGTGCTTGGTCTTTTCTTGTTCATAACTTGTCCCGGCAGTGCATGCATCAGTTATTTTTAGTCTCTTATAGTTTCTTTACTGCTTGAGGAGATGTTTGTAAAGGTGCAAGCACTGCTGCAAAGAGTTCCAAGTCCCAGGTCCCAGCCAGTAATGGAGCAGGACACTCGCTGCAAGGCCTTCCCAGGATAGAGCCCCCCACCCATTTCATCCACCTGCCTTCTGTCTGTACAAAAACTTTTAAAAGAATACCTTTAATCAGAGAAGTGACAAGATGCAGAAAGAAAGGAAAACAGTCAAGCAAGACAAGATAGTAATACTTTGGCCATTAAACAGTCAAGGAAGGACCTTTAGTTCTTCCTCAAAGACTATAGATAATATTATAAGTCGTGTTCTTGGAGCTGTCTTGCAGATACTGAAATCCCCACCAGGTGGAAGAAGTTAACTGTGTGCTGCCCACAAGCATGTAACCCCAGACCAATTAAAACCACAGGTTGATGATACTGACTCCTAATTACCTCACTACCAATCAATCAGAAGAATGTCCACGAGCTGATCACATGCTATTCCTTAAACATGATAAGACTCCTCACTATCCACTCCAGCGTGGGACTCACAGTCTTAAGGGCATTATTCTGCTATTGCCCCTTTGCTTGGCAAAGCAGTAACACTATTTCACCCAAAGCTCTGTCTCTGAGATTTAATTCAGCACCAGTGGACAGAGGCTGAATTTCAGTAACAAGCCTGTCTCAGTTCAGACTCAGGGTCTCTCTGATAAGACTGCAGTCAAGGCATTGGCTAGGGTGTATCTGAAGAGTTGGTGAGGACTGGAGGATCCACCTCCAAAACGGCATCTTTCCATGACTACCAAATTAGTGCCAGCATTTGGCAGGTGGCCTCAGTTCCTCACCTCATAGACCTCTCTCCAGGATTGCTTGAGTGTCCTCAGCTGGTTTTCCCCATGGTGAGTGACCTAAGAGACAGCAAGACAGAAATGTTACATTCTATTGTACAGAGGTAAAAGCTCCATCGGGTATTTCATGATGCCACTGGAAACCCTTTGGGAAATACAGATATTAGAAACATGACCTGGGGCCCCTGTTCCATGAAATGCTTACAGAAAGATCCATTACCAGTTGTGCATGCCTTTTAAATGGAATATTACAATGCATTGTCATTGTCGCCACATTGCAAGGAGAGTATATACTCAAATCTTCTATTTCAAAAAAAAAATGGGAAATGCAATAACTACCGGTTTGCAGAAACATGTGAAATTATACTAATAATATTTTTTTCTTAAATCTACCTCTGTAAGCCAAGTTTACGATTAAACAAGTTCTGAAATATTCGTAGTATTTATGAAAATAAGCAAGACATCAAAAACAGTATATCAAAAAACAAATTAGGAGACTTCCCTGGTTGCTCAGCGCTTAAGACTCCATGCTCCCAATGCAGGGAACCCAGGTTCAATTCCTGGTCAAGAAACTAGATTCCACATTCCACAACTAAGAGCCGATGCAGTCAAGTAAAAAAAAAACTTAGGCCCACCTTAGGGGAAATAAAGGACATAATCTTTAACCAGAACTAGACCCAAGTTCCAAGTTCCTATTACTGATCTTTATTGAAAGATAAAGTAATAGTTAGAATCATTTTCAATACAAATATTCACATATCTCAACCTGTATGCAAAGAAAATACAAAATGTAAAAACTCTGTTTTAAACGACAGTCTTCTTTTTGAGTGAAGTAAGTCAGATAGAGAAGGAGAAATCTCATATGACATCCCTTACATGTGGAATCTAAAAAGAAATGATAAAAATGAAATTATAAAACAGAAAGAGACTCACAGACTTAGAGAACAAACTTATGGTTTCCCAGAGGAAGGATGTGGGGAAAGAATAGTTATGGTGTTTGGGATGGACATGTACACACTGCTAAATTTAAAATGGATAACCAACAGGGACCTACACCTGTCTAGCACATAGAACTCTGCTCAATATTATGTGGCAGCCTGGATGGGAGGGGAGTTTGGGGGAGAATAGATCCATGTATATATATGGCTGAGTCCCTTCCATTTTCACCTGAAACTATCACAACATTGTTGATTGGCTATACCCCAATACAAAATAAAAAGTTAAAAAAAAAAAAAAGGACAGTCTTCTTTTAAGTGATAACAACAAGATTATGCTTTCCATGTAGGTTTGTGTTTTCATTTCAAATGAGTGAGGAAAAAAAAAAACAAGACTGTCCAAAAATTATGTTTCATTCCTGTCTCATACTTTACCTCCAAAAACAGTTCCAAATGGGTTAAAATTCTCACTTGACATAATTTGACTATTAAACTATTAGAAGGCAAAGGTAAATATTTTAATATTCTTAAGGTAAATAAACAGGTTTATGCATGAGTTTTTTTAACTAGGAAAAATATTCGCAACACATATGACAAGAATGAATTCTTAATACTAAATAGCTCCTATAAAGTAAAAAGAAGGGACTTCCCTGGTGGTCCAGTGGCCAAGACCCCAGGCTTCCAATGCAGGGGGCCTGGGTTGGATCTCTGGTCAGGGAACTAGATCCCATATGCCACAGTTAAGACCCAGGGCAGCCAAATAAATAAATATAAAAAAAGAAAGAAAGAAAAACACCAATATCAATAGAAAGAAATGGGGAAAGTCACAAAGGAAGAAAAATAAGTAGCTAACGAACATGTGAAAATATTTTAAATTCCTTAATAGCATTGAAATGAAAATTAATACAACATTTTTTAAACTTATCCAGGCAAAAATTTTTCTAGAGCGAGTGTTTGTTTAGTCGCTGAGTTATGTCTGACTCTTTGCAACCCCATAGACTGTAGCCCACCAGGCTCCACTGTCCATGGGATTCTCCAGGCTAGAATACTGGAGTGGGTTGCCATTTCCTTCACCAGGGACATTCACGACACAAGGATCAAACCCTCGGCTCCTGCCACATATCCTGCATTACAGGAAGATTCTCTTACCACTGAACCACCAGGGACACCCAAGATTTTTCTAGGGGGAGCATCAAAGCAACTTTTCTGGTGAGTGATATGGCAAGATACCAAAGCCCTAAAAAAATGTTTTTTATTCCTCAATTTTTCTATTAATTCCATTGTACTCTAAGGAACTATTTTTTTTTAATCCATAGAAATATGACTCTAAGGATACTCATTTCACAGCTTTCCAGAGCAAAAGAAGAATTTTTCTACAACCAAAAATGTTCATCATTGCATGACTGAGATAATGTAGTTATAGTATCCATATGTATCTATTTAAAGCCATGATGTAGAAGAATCTTTAATGATACAGAAGGATGGTAAACATAAAAACAGTTGCACATGGACCTGCCTGGTGGTCCAGTGGCTAAGATTCCAAGCTCCCTATGCAAGGGACTCGGGTTCGATGCCAGGGGATCAGGGAACTAACTA